TTATACTGTTGGATGAGGGAGTTTACCTTTATGGAGCAGCTGGTGCAAGTGGTGGTAGTGTCTGACATTGCTTTGCTTGATGTTTTCAGCAGAGGCTACTGTGAAATTTAGTCAACTAATGCATTTGGCAAAGGCATACTTTCTGTTCCTGTTTTCCAGCATGTGAAACAATGGGTAGTATGTAGGCTACAGCCAGAGATTCAGTGCATTGAACTGTAACTGCTTTGAACCCCGAACAGTCAGTCAGTCAGTCTCTGGCCCAAACCAGAACTGTAGCCAGGCATTTTTGTGCCTGGTGCAGGTCAGGTGCAGAGCACCCCCACCGTTATTATATAACATTTACTTTCCCTGCTGCTCCCCTGTGTGAGGATGCCTGGTACCAGTGTACCATTTTGTATTGCCCTTGTTACTGTACTGACCCAAACTGTGGCTTTATAAATGCTTGTTTAGCGCTGCAGCCTTCTGGCTTTCATGCACGGTTCATTCTTCTTGAGCTCCTCCTCTGCCATCATGAAATCAAGGAAACTTTAGATGAGGCTTCCATGGTCTCTTGGCTCAAGGCGTTTAGGCTTTATGGAGATCACTGAATAGGGTTGGCTGCTGAGACTTAAGTAGCCTTAGCTCATATTGCCCTTTTGTTCCTGATCTGCCAAGCCTCATGGAGACGGTCCCCTGATTGACTACCACAAACTTATTTTAAAGATTAGTCTCAAGTCCCTAATAACTCCTCATCTTTGCAAGAATAGTTTAGTGCTTTCTCTTTCTGAGAATTGTAGGGTTGGGAGGGACTTCAAGATCAAGTCTAGGTACATGCAGGAGATTGCTAAACACGGGAGCTTCCCAGCAGAAGTTAATTCTGGTAGTAAAAGACTGAGAGAATATGGATTTACAAAATCAAAAGGCAAAGTTGACATTGGCTAAGAAGACAGGACGGGGTGGCACCTTCATTTGTTCAAAAGCATGAGCTGTGGCATGAAGGCTTTCACCTTTGACAGCTCTTTGCCAAATGCAATGAATGGACCTGCAAAGAATAAGGGTACTAAAGAGGAGAAGTTAAGCCAAGCTAGATTTAGATCCACGTTCTGTACTCCAGGGAGTTTGATTTGGGGGTGGTACGGAGACTTCTTGCTTCCAGGCTTCTTTGAACATGTGAATTGTCATTGGGGTGAGGGGGGGGAGGCTTTTTTTAATTTTTTTTTTGTGCCATAGAGATTTGCAATTGTGGCTAAGCATTGACAGTGATGGGGAAAACTTAAATCTCTATTGCTGCTGGTCCGTCTTCATGCAGGTTTATTGCAGGACTTGTTCAAGACTATACATAATTGCATACTGTGCCCTTTAGACTTTTTTTAGGTTGGAGAAAAGGGATGGTTTATAGAACTGATTCTAAGACCATGGATAGGTAGCAAATGCAAAACCACTTTCCCAACAAGCTTCTTGCTTAAGATTCTCCTCCAGCAGCCAAAGCTATATAGCAAAGGGCAATAAGATACTGCACGTGTCCTATTCTATTCTATTTTTCCATTTACAGAAAATGGAAAGTAATGCAGGGAGGAGTGTGGTATGGAGCAAGGTAGATTAATTATGGTATGAAAAAACTGAATTGAAGAAATCTATGTTGCCTTAGAAGGTTTTCCCAGCACATGTATGTTCCTGGTATGTCTGTGGCACTGAAGGCTTTGTGAAAGGATAGGGATCTTTATTTCATTTGAAGATGAAAAGTGGCTGGCACAACTCCAAGCTTGGACTTTGGGCTATCGGGTGTTGCTAGTTAATGGTGCTTGATCTAGGATCTTGTATACATGGGTGGACAATGATAATATAGCTGCGATCTTGAGGATTCTGTGGCTTCCGGAACCATAAAACCCACTAACAGACTCCCTGTGCTGTACTCCAGAGGCCTGTTCAGCCCAAGCAGAGTATCCTACCTGGTGAGGATGGACAGTGTGCTGCTTTTTCATCGGCAGTTTAGACTCTTGCTTTTATGACTTGTTTTGTAACACTGGAGAGAGCTGCTTGTAGATTGATGGATTGTTTGGGGGGATAAGGCAGAACCCCATGCTGTTTGCCTCTATTTCTTCTCTAGTCCACTGACAGGCCTTGCTTGCTTTTGGAACGTGGGACTGTTCATCATGCCTCTCAATGCTGTGCACAGCCTGCCTAAGCACCAGTATATGGGAACAGTTGGACTACTGACCGCTGGGTTCATTCTTTGTATCTGTAGAAATCGCTCTGCCTTGATTGTGCTTTCTCTTTGCCAAGCAGAACAAAAAAAGGGGGATTGGGAGGGGGAGGAGAGAAGAGTAGCAAATGTGGAGGGAAGTTAACGCCTACCAGCATGCACATCCGCCTGGAAAGTTATTTCAGATACAAGCCCCGTGCAGCAGCCAAGCATGTTTGCCTTTGCAGCTTTCATGATTCCTAGACCTCCAACTAAAGCAGAGTGTTTATGCATCTTTAATGTGACTGTGTAGCAATTTGAGGGAAAGCTTTATAGGAGGGGAGGGGGGCTTTGTGAGGGTGTTGAGTTCACAGAGCTGGCTCCTCCGATTTGTCCCATCCATAGTTGATGTTGCTATTACTGTGCAGACTCCTTCTCTGCTGTGGAATAAAAGTCCTTTTGTGTTGGGGCCTCAGTGTGATGCCATTCTGCTCCTTTTTGGCAGTTCAGTCTGCTGAACTCCCAGGCTTAAGCTGCCTGCAAATGAAACTAAGGCAAGCAGACACATGCAGCAGTGGGGGTGAGCCACCATCCCATTCAAATGCTAATGTTGCCTGAAAACAGAGATCTCATTCTAGCTTAAGACTCCTTCCTTCCCTTCCCTTCCCTTCCCCCAACACTGACTGCATGGCTGTCTGCAGGTGTTGAGGCCCTTTAAGAGTGCATGTTCCACTGGGTGATTTTTAAAAATCTTTTTTTGGTTTTGTGTGTGTGTGTGTGTGTGTGTGTGTGTGTGACCTGCCTTTTTCTTGAAGGCTATTCTAAAGAAATGGTAGACAAGGTTGTTTGGGTAAATGTGATATCTGTCATTAGACTGGAAGATCTGGCCCAGTGTTTAAAGGACTACTTGGCGAAGTTCCCTGTTCAATGCGACTGCATGCATAAGGGAAGGCTGCAAGACCTGGCTCAATATTTGGGCTCAGTGAGCCCCCTTTTCATTCTCCTATGAGCCTGTAAGCATCCTGGGGGTGGGGGACAGGAGGCCTAGTGGTATGGGGCAAGAGGCTAAACATTGCTCTAGGATCCAGCATTCCTGTTGCAACTCATGAGCTTCAGACAGTGCAGCTAATACCATAATGCTGATGGGAGCCCTGCTGGGCTGTGCCAGGCTGCACCCAGTGAGAATAATGAAGAAAGGAGCAGAGGGCTTTCTGAAGATTCAAAGAGGAAGTGATTCACAGAGGAAGTGGGAGGGAGTGATCATACAAATACGGTAGCGCAAGTCGTTACAACCCTGTTTCTCCACTTTCTGAGCCATCAGGCATAGACAAGAGAACAGAGTAGTTGTGAAGCCTGTGCAGTAGGGTGGGGTGGATGCATACAACCTCAAAGTACTTGGATATGGAGGATTGGTGTGCATAGCATAATTTCTACCCCCCCCCCTACTTTCAAGCTGGTTAAGATGCTGTTGGGGGTGACACCCGTTGTCCTCACCTTGAGAAACAGCTTCTTCCTGGCTTGCCTGGAGTGTATAAAACACAGTTGTAAACCCAGATAACAGGCAACCTGGAAGTTTTTTCAGTTCTTCACCTCTGCCCCACTGTGGTGTACCCTTGCTTACCAAAAGCCTAATGACACCTTTTTTTGGTGGCTGTTTGCTAAAGAGCTCAAGCATCCCTTCCCCTTGATGGAATATAACTTTATTTCACTTCTGCAAAGCTTTTAAATCTGTGTACTGTACTGCAATGCCAGGGTGTTTTGTTTAACGAAGTGCCAAAAGTGTTCTGGGTGCATGACCAAGAGGAAACTTTAAATTCCAATAGTAGGATTTATCTTGGTGGTGTGTTCCTGTCTAATGGATGTGCTGTGCTTTGCCTAATGGGGGCACCTTTTTAATGGTGACCCCAACTGAACAGCTGGCAGATGAGTAGGTACTACTTCTATACAGGGCAGAATCTAATACAAATCTTAAATTACCACTTGTGTGGTTAACAGGATATATAGCTTTAGTTAAGTGTGCTGTAAGATGAGACCCTTGCTTGTCAAATGGGGGATGTTCTGATGAGTGAAGCTGATTTACATCTGTAGTATCTGTCATTGCCTTTCCCAACTAAAATCCATTGCTTCGTATTTCACCCTCCATTGGCTTTTGTATGGCTGAGCAAGCTGGCATTTCAGCAGTTCATTTGTTGGGAGCTTTGCTGCTGTCCTAATCAAGTCAAGGAAGAAATAGGGGTCTGACCTACATGGTTCTTCCACTCTCTCAAACTGTCTTTTGGAATCCTGGCACTTTCTGTAGCAATTCTTGCCACTATAGCAGCAATAGTGCAGAAGTGGCTGTATGCAATAGCTTTTCTCGGTTGGCATCCTGCTTTAGATGGCTTTGGAAGGCAGCTGAAATGAGTAAGTAGGCAGAGATCTAGTCCCTACCAAGGATTTTATCCTAATTGGAAAGCCGTTGGTCACCCAGAAATGTGACTGGGGAGAGGAGGCATGTAGGAAGCTGGGGCAGAATGGTACAGCTCCATGCATGACTTCAGTTCAGCTGTAACGGAGCTACTAACAAATTACTCTCATCCTGCCTGGAATTTGGCAGATCTCTAAGTATCCTTCATCCACTGCTGTAGTCAAATTATTAGTGTCTTGAGCTTGGGACTGCAGGCTGTTTTGGCCTGTGGTCCTTTCAACTTTTGAGGCTAGGTTTCATTCTGTTCTGAACTTCCTTGTTACATGCTGGCCTGGTGCAGTATGCACAACTTGACTGCACATGGCTCCTGAGCATGTGACCGATCAGCTGTGACTGTTACTAATGGACATGCTTTTCTCTGGCTTTTTCCAGGTGGTAAAGACAATTGGACTGAGAGAAGTGTGGTTTTTTGGACTTCAGTACCAGGATACCAAGGGCTTCTCAACATGGTTGAAACTCAACAAAAAGGTATTTATATACATTGTACACCCTTGTACATTGTACTATTTCCTTGGCTTTTGCCGCGTCACGATTTACCATCCCTTCCCCCTCTGTCCATGACAGGAGCCAAGTCATAAGCAGTAAACTTGGCCAAAAAGTTGCCAACCCCTGGTCTATAGTTCAGACACGGTGCCAGATTTGCTGCTGCTTGTTTGCAGTAGTGCGGTTTTCAGATGGATCTGTTAAATCTCTTCCTTGCTGTACTGTGTTATTAATGTGTAGTAGGCGTGGTAAATAAGACTTAAGCAGGCAGCTGCAAAGCATGCACCTGGTGACCTGTGCTCTGACCTGCTGAAGCTAGAGTCACAATAGTACCTGGTGAAGAATAAGCAGTGACAAATGATGCTGGACGTCTCCCAAAGGGAAGATACTTGTGAGGGGAGACCTGGAGAATCTTGCTCTGCTGCATGCTTGCTTTTTGTATTGGAAAGGAAGAATTCACTGAATGTGCCCCTTCTTTTTAACATGCCACTGAAATTCTAGCTGGCCTGATGAATACTAAGTCTGACTGTCCACTCTCTCTTCTTCTCCCCCCGCCCAGGTGACGGCCCAGGACGTTCGCAAGGAAAGCCCATTGCTCTTCAAGTTCCGTGCCAAGTTCTACCCAGAGGATGTGGCTGAAGAGCTAATTCAGGATATCACGCAGCGCCTCTTCTTCCTTCAGGTGAAGGAGGGCATCTTGAATGATGATATTTACTGCCCTCCAGAGACTGCCGTCCTTCTCGCTTCTTATGCTGTCCAGTCAAAATATGCAGACTTCAACAAGGAAGTGCACAAGACTGGCTATCTTGCTGGTGATAAACTCGTTCCACAAAGGTATGCAAGCTTTTCCGCTCCTGCGAGCATCCAGTGCCATAGGCTATATACAGGTTCTGTGTGTTAGATAGATAGCTTCACGTTGGTTTTTGGCTGGAATCTCATGAACTGTACCTCGACTCTGGTTGCATGCATGCAGTAAGTGCAAGGCTACATATCAAATGCTATGGTCTCATTGTCCAAGGAGCTTGTCAGAGCCCATTGCAGCTAAACAATCACTGAATGTGATTTAGAAACTTGTGATTTTTAAACTCCTTTTGTGTGAAGAAGCAAAAGGAAGAGACATTAATGGAGCAGACAAGCAAAACAAGAACCAACAGCTTTATAACAAGTCGTTGTAATGGTACAAGGAGAAACAAAAGCAGAATACCGTTTTGCTTAAATAGTCAAGGCTTGAGTAGCATGATATGGTGGCTTGGCTACAGTTCCAACTCTGGACAAGTGCTTCCTTGGAACAAGTGGGTGAGGGGGGGGGGAAACTTGGGGCCAGTAGGAGTAGTTATTGAGGCTTTTTGGCACTGACCTGCATTGCAAAGGTACTTTAGATGGTGGGCCATGATTGCAGCTGCTTGGACCAGCCTCACTACACTTTTCGTCCCCTTTTAACTAACAAGATTCTGTTTCCTGTTGCTTCCTTTCTAGAGTTTTGGAGCAGCACAAACTCAATAAGGACCAGTGGGAGGAGAGGATTCAGGTGTGGCATGAGGAACATCGGGGAATGCTCAGGTAACTTGGCTTATGGCTTGATATTATTTTGCCCTGTTAAAGAAATGGGGCTATACCAGCCTGTAGTTGCCTCAGGTTTTGTAGTAAACATTTTATTTGTCCTTGGGTGAAAGCCTGTTAGCATTGCATTTGTCATCTTGCTGAAGAATAATTAGATTCGTCTTGGGTGATCATCAGGCTGTCCTTTCAGGTGAAATAGAACGTGCCTAACTCGTGTATCTCTTAAGGCAGTGTGCAGCCATACTGTCAGACTTGCTGCCAACTTACCTGCCAACTAAAGGTAGCAGCTTCTCCCCATAATGCCTTTTATTTGGCGTCTGTGTGAAAAATCTGTTTCCTTTGCATGTTTTAGAGAAGATGCCATCTTGGAATACCTGAAAATTGCACAAGATCTGGAAATGTATGGGGTGAACTACTTCAGTATTAAGAACAAGAAAGGCTCTGAACTCTGGCTAGGTGTAGATGCCCTTGGCCTCAACATATATGAGCAGAATGACAGGTAACAAAAACCTTTCTTAGATCTCTTTGGGTGACCTTTTGTTCTTCAGCACATACTGAAAAAAACTACCCTCCAAAACAAAGGAATATTTTAAAGAATTCAGGTTTTTAGTAAGAAATGTGCTCCTTACTCACCTATGTGCAGCCTTGACCAATTGAAGGCACAGTAAGGGTGGCATCTCATTAGAGCAAAATCCATTTTAACAAATTCCATTGCAACAAACTTTTAAATCCTAGCTGCTGGCCTGTAGTGAGTAATGCCAAGTGGCTATTTGTTAGAAAGGAATTCACTACTATAGAAAATGGTCTTTACAGTAAACACTTTCACTCTTGTCCAAGGCTTTGTTCAAAACCTCTCATTTTAAAATGAATGTCTCCCCTGTTAAACCAGCTTGCCTCTGAATTGGGAGCAAGAACAGGAACAGTAAGGGTGGGGACTTACCAGGCCTCAGCTATTCTGTAGTAACTGTTGCACCCTGGAGCAAGAGCCAGGCACAGTTTTACCTCCGAATGAAACAAATGTGGCTCAGTTGTCACAATTCTTTTTGTTTTTCCTCCGAGAGCTGTCCCTGTTCTCGTAGGGTAGCGGAGTCATTTTTAAGTCCTGCCCTCACTACCCATAAGTGACCAGCTATTGAGGTATGTGTGCACACGTTTCCCCCAGTGAACAGTGTACTCTCCTTCATGGTTTGACTGCTCTGTGGTAACTCCTCAAATAATATCATTACAATGAAATAAACTGGGCATCCCTATGAAGTTTCATTATGATAGAAAAACCACACAGGTGGAACTTAAGTAAACTCTTCCAGGCTGTCCCTATTAGTTCTTGGTTAAGGTCCTGAACACAAGCTGCATGACATTAAATTTGACTGTTTTAATAAAACTACTGGGAGAGCTCCTCATAATCCATGTAATTGCTGTGCAGGGACAACTTGACATTGAATTGAATCCCATTGAATAGAATTTCCTTGACTCTCTCTTGTTTTATTTTAAATTGTCGTCTCTGCAAGGCAAGGAAACAGTTGATTACTGTTCTTGCATTTCAGTTTTCACATGCCTCTGCGACTCTTAATTTCTGGAACTTGGGGGAAAAGCTCAAGTACTGTTAGAGCCATTTTGACACTTCCAGTCTACTGTTGGCTAATTTGGAATAAATTTAGAGTAACTTCTGCTAAACTTCCTCCATTCTTTCTTTGTTTTTTCTTTAAATCCTTGCAGGCTAACTCCAAAAATTGGATTCCCTTGGAGCGAGATCAGGAATATCTCATTTAATGACAAGAAGTTTGTCATCAAGCCCATTGACAAGAAAGCTCCAGTAAGAGACCCATTCAAATGTCAAATTTTAATAAACACTCAAAGATGCACTTAAATAATTTTTTAAAAGCATTTTACAAGCAATTTTCCAATAACTAGCAGAAGGTATTTAAAGTATTGTCGAAGTGAATGGATGGGTTGACAGGCAGTTGTGGGTAGGGGAGAGGTTGTTGTGTTAGGTTTGCTTTATGATTTGGAGGCAGGAAATCACTGAGGTCACCTCTGCAGCCATCTTTGTTGCAGAGTTTGCTGCCTTGCTTGCTGTTTTTTGATTAGCTTGAGGAAAGCTTGGCTTGCTGTACAGAACCCAAAATGGACAACTTCTGTCTACCTTTTGTGCTATAGCTTTTGACTCCTTAGCTTTCCCATATTTCCTAGTATCTTCCTTCTCTGAATGATCACTCTACCACTGTTTGGAAACCACTTCCTTGCTGTTCTTATGCATGAGTAGCCACAATGAAGTTGCATTTCCCCAGGAGAAATGCACCGGAGGAAACCTGTTTAAGGTGTGAGCAAGAAAATGAACATTCCAGTTGGAGGAAGGGTAGATTATATCATCTCAAAACTGAAAACCTAATTGTGCAATTTGTAGCTTGTTCTAGAAGATGGAAATGCGTTAATATAAAAGCACGGATGCTCGTTGGGCATGTTTTTAATGGCTTTTTGAGCATTTAATGGTGTGCATGCAATATCCTGACAATGCAAAATCCAGCTTTGGCAAGCTGACAGACTACCAGGTCTTCCCTAGATAAGACACCTGAGCCTTCCTCACTTTGCACTGGTAATATCTGGAGACTTTGAACATTTTAAGGACAGTGTTGTTAAAATGTGCCCTGTGGTATTGTCTGTTCTGTGGATTCCTACAGACCTTCATAGTTTTGTGTGTGTTTGTTACTACTGCTAAGTGCCTGGTTTGCCACTACGTTTTGCCTTGCTTATAGGTGAAGTGCCCTCTTATTGCTAATTGGTCTTTTTAGCCTTCCCTCAACTGTTGCCCCTTGTGAGCATGTTGTGGGTAGCAATAGTGAAGTATGTATGGGGCATGCTAGGGAAATATGTTTTAATGCTTTCTCCCCTCTGTCTTAAGGACTTTGTATTCTATGCCCCACGACTACGAATTAACAAGCGAATCCTGGCGCTGTGCATGGGGAACCACGAACTCTATATGCGCAGGCGTAAGCCAGACACCATTGAAGTGCAGCAAATGAAGGCACAGGCTCGGGAAGAAAAACATCAGAAACAGATGGAGAGGTAGATACCATGAGGATCTGAACCTGAGCTGCTTCTGATGACCACTGTGTACAAACCACATTGTGTTAGTACAACTGCTGAAAGTGCCTGCCCATTAATACCAGATCTTACTAGGGTCTAGTTTTGGCAGCTGAAGCGCATTCTTTTCTAAATGGATGAGGCAGATGGCACAATTCCTAAACATGACTTGGTGTTAGGATAGTCTTGATCTGAGAACTGTTCTTATAGGCAGATGAGGTTCTTTGGGTGAATCTGATATCTTTTATTAGACCAACTTAAATAGTTGGAAAATTTTCTTAGCAAACTTTTGGGTTTAAAAACCCCTAGTTTAAACTGAGGTTTGTGGAGCAAAGTGTGCTCAAGACAGTAGAGATCATCTCATTGGGATATACAGAGCAAAATTTGAAGATGTAGCTTTTGATGTTTTATCACTAAGGCCCCTTCTACACATCACAGGTCATGTGATATATAAAAGGTATGGCTACAGCCTACACCCCTGAACTGTTCTATTGCATTTTAATGCAATTTTGATACTATATCTCATGTCCCCTCCACATGTGCATGGCAGGAAGTGTGGGATTGCACATTAAATCCTGTCGTACCTTATTGCCAGTGCAGAAGGAACCTGATTCCAGGCTCCCCTGCACCAGCAAGAAGCAGGCTTCCATGGCTGGGAGCTTCACACACCTCAGTTGTGAGGGGCTTCCAGCCATGGGGGACAACCCATGTATACCTGGCACTGTATGAACCCTTCTGTGGTGATCTCCCTGCCTGAGGGATGCAGGGAAACTCCTGGAGCTGGAGGATCACTGTAGGGGACAGTCCTCTTCCACCCCCAGACCTGGGATTCCAGCTGCTGTGATCCTTGGGGCTTGGGGTTTTTTCCCTGGGCATGATGCATCCCTGTGGCTGGGAGCTGCCAGCTGAGGGAGCTCCCAGCAGCAGGGGTGATTCTGCTACATGTACAAATTACAGCTTGATAGTAACTAGTTACTAAGGCAGTGCGCACTTTTTTTGAGGTTTAACTTGTATAGCTGGTTGGAGCTTTTTATTGCTTGTGATAACTACATTGCACATGTAACTGGTCTCCAAGTGATTGTGCAATTACCTGGCTAACTGCACAAGACCTGTGATGTGTAGAAGGGACCTTAATGATGAAACTTCAAAAGTGGTCTTCACACATTGCTCTGTATATCCCAATGAGATAAGTATCTGCTCTACTCAGTCTTGAGTAGAGTTTGTTCTACAAACAGGCCTATCTAGAATCCATCAGATGAGTTGCCTCTTGCATGATCATGACTCTTCTGTTGGAGAGCCCTGCTACTTTTATACTGCAGTTTAGATTTAGCTGCTTTGTTTTAACTCTTCCTTAATCAGAGCCCTGCTGGAGAATGAGAAGAAGAAGAGGGAACTGGCAGAGAAGGAGAAAGAGAAGATTGAACGTGAGAAGGAGGAGCTGATGGAACGGCTCAGGCAAATTGAGGAGCAAACGAAGAAGGCTCAGCAAGGTACTAAGAAATCTTTTTTGGCAGAGAAACTGTCTAGCTTTGGGTATTTGCACTAAAAATTTCAAGGTCCTAAAATTGGGCATCCTCCTGAAGCTTGTCCTGAGCCTTTAGGTCCTCCATATCTCCCACGTATCTCAGATCTTGAATTCTGCAGTGTTGCACATCAAAAACCTAGCCTTGGCTCCCAGTGAAGACCTAGGAGGGGATCTGTTGGATAGGCAGGCTGGCTGATCTGTCATCTGGGATCAGATCTGATCTTTTGTCTTGGGGCCGTTGTAGTCAGAGACGACAGTAGCAGGGTGTGGGGCCTGGGGCAAATCAGCCTGTGCAGGGCCTGGACACAGCAGGAGGGAGGGGGATGGTGAGTGGCCGGATGCAAAGCTGGCTCAGCTCCACAGGGCCCCTCAAAGCGCAGGGCCTGGGGCAGTTGCCCTGACTTCCTCCTCTTCCCTTCCCACGAATGGCCCTGACTGTAGTAAGGTTTTATGCTGTAATGCTTTATTGTTGGGAAGAGATCTCTATGGTGGAGACTTCAGAACTCTTATTCCCATCAACAGTCCTGGTTTCTTAAGCTACAGGGCAGAACCATTGGTGCTGGGGTGGGGACAGCTAGTCAGAACCCAGATGGGTTTAGCCTGTAGTTCAGGGGTTGAAGATGACTGCAACAGGCACAGGACTTTAGGGCAGACGGACTAAAATAGATTCTCCAAGCAGGATACTGCTGGTACCCTACTAGTGAATATTGCTTCTGTATGCCCACCAGTGCAGGGAGGTGTATGTCAGGGAGAGTTACTTTCTTGCTGCTGTTCTAGGCTTGATCTCCAAGCCTGGCTTTGCTTCCTTCTTTTTCATGCTGCTCTTTCTTCAGAACTGGAAGAACAGACCCGCAGAGCATTGGAGCTGGATCAAGAAAGGAAACGAGCCCAGGAGGAAGCAGAGAAGCTGGCTAAGGAACGTCGGGAGGCAGAAGAGGCAAAGGAAGCCCTGCTGAAAGCTTCCAATGACCAGAAGAAAACCCAGGAACAGCTGGTGAGCAGACTTAGCCAGGGAGAATGGCTTTCTGGATGCCTCCTTGGTCTTTTTAGTGGTATAGACTCCTTGCCTAAGCAGTAGTTTAGCAGGGAATTGGTTGGGAATTCGGTTTCTTTTAATTCAGATCCTTATCAGATGCATAAGCTAGTACCTTCTTTAAAACTAAATCTTTACTAAATTGGTGATTTAACGGAGAACATCTTTTAGTCGAGTACCTCCACATGCATACCCCCTAATAATGAGCATGGAGAAGTTGGTTCTGTGGCCTTTTCTACAGGATGCAAAAGTCTTGTATAGAGGAAGACCCAAACCTGAAATTCCAGTTACAGGGTGGGCCCAAAGCGCCCAACAGCACAGCAGTGAGCATCAGAACTCTCTTGAATGTATGGCAGTCTGGCTTAGTCGTCTTCCCCTTTTTGGGGGCAGTCCCTTGCTGCTTGGAGGCTTGAGGAGATGGATACTCCCTTAACTTAGAAGGAAATAAAATATTCAAACCCCTTGTATCTTACTTCTACAGTCTTCAGAGATGGCAGAACTTACATCTAGAATCATGCAGCTGGAGGTGGCCAGGCAGAAGAAGGAGAGTGAAGCCTTTGAGTGGCAACAGAAGGTACAAATGGCATCTGGTTACAAACACCTTCCCTCCCTTCCCCTGGTGCAAAAAGCTTTTGACACAGGTTTCCCCCTTTATTCTGGCTTCCGTGGGCTGGTCTGACCCTATGAGCTTACCTTGTCACTTATGACATTTTGTTTTTAGCATGTAAGGTAATAAAACTGAGAACACTGCAGCAGGAAAGCCTGAGCTGCATTTGAACTCCAAAGTACCAGCTACTCCTGATTTCATGTTGCATGGGCTTAGTCTAATGACAATGCTTACTGCCTTCACAGCGTTCAGCTAGACACTAGATGTTCGGCTGCCAGGACAAAGGAATATGGAAGCCCCTCATGCTTTCACAGTTGAATTGAGTCTTCCTATTGGGGAATGTTTTTGGGGTGCAGAATACACATTTACTCCTGTCCACAGTGTTGAACTGATGATTCAATCATCCTTATGCTGCCCAAAGTTCACCCACTATTTCTAAAATGGATGCTTTGGGAGTAATTCCTAAGAATTTAGGAAGGATCCTTTGTAACTTTAAAATGGATCTGGGAATGATACTGTTGGGTGTATTTTCAGGTAGTCGCATGAAACTGCCTACTCCATATTTTAGCTTGGCTGCAGCTCATGCACACATGAGTAGCTGTTTAAAGTGCATTTATGTACAGTGTAGGTATAACAATTATGCTGGATGGCTACACATGCAAATGTCTAAGTCCCACTTATAATGGGATATGACCCTACCATCAGCCTTCTTCCTGACCAGTTCTTATGAAGGTTCCACTTGAAAGCTTCTGGCACACAGGGGTCATTATAATGTGGACATGATAGAAACAGACTTCTGAGCCCAAGAATATATTCTTGGGTCCCTTGGAGTGAAACCTGCCAGTAGGAGACTCATTAACTTGAGTGGTATGTTTTTACCTCAGGCCCAGATGGTGCAGGAGGACCTAGAAAAGACCAAAGAAGAACTGAAGACGGCCATGACCACCCCTCATGTCACTGAACCCATCCATGCCGAGAATGAGAATGATGAACAGGATGAGAATGCTGCAGAGGCCAGTGCTGAACTGCGGTCAGATGCTACTATTAAGGACCGCAGTGAGGAGGACCGCACCACTGAAGCAGAGAAGAATGAACGAGTCCAGAAACACTTGAAGGTAGGGGCAGAAAGGCTATGGGCTTCTGCAGTGCTTGTACATCCTCCTGGCCTTGTTTATGTAGCTGGAGTGGGGAGCAAGGTAGTTAAGAATCTGGGAAACATGATCTCATGTCAGTTGACTGATACGTTGGAAAACGTAGAGGGAGTGCAGCAAAACTTGCCTTGGCTCTCATCAAGCAGCTTCTTTTTAAACCCCTGTTAGTGAAGAGTACATGGTACTGCCAAGGAAAAGCATCTGTTGCGTGTAATGTGCTAAGATGAATCCTGCCAGCCATCTGACAGCTGTTCAGTAATGAGCTGGAGGACTTAGTCCAGTTCCTATTGAGCAGGTGCCTGTAGTAGTCTGTCATGTTGGCTGAGCCTCTGCTGGACTATGCAGCTCAATTGCAGCATGGTTCTTGGAGGCAGCTTTAG